CACAATGAAGTTAAAAAGTCATAAAATTTTTATTTCATGAAACATTATTTGTTTTGTGGTGGGTTTTCACATGGAGGTAAAAATTTCTTCACTCGCGATTGTTTGAAATTTTTGGTTCATGAGACACGACGTAAAGTGAAAGTATATAGGATAAAACTCACGCGCAGCAAGTGACACAAATATTTCAAATGAAACACAACGCATATCATGTATACACGTTGAAACTTGTCAATGAAACATATATCTCATGAAATATTGTGTCATAAGATTTTCAACAATATGTCATGCATCTCAAGTGTGTTGCCATTGAGAAACGTGAAATTTTTGACTCATGACAAAAAAATTTTATGACAAGTTTTCATCGTGGATATTAGTAACTTTTACCCTCAAAATCTCATTTGAATTACTAAAAGTACTTGGAAGAAAACTATAATAAATCGAAAGATTTTTAAGATTTTAACACCCTGTAGCTACGAAAAAAACAGAATCGGACCTATGTTGATATGAAAAGTAAATCTTATTTTTACGTGACAAATCTCCCCACGAGAGATGGTACATGTTTTTTCGAAACTCCCTGTACATAATTGGAATTTTAGTTATTGCCACTAAAAATGGTTTAATATTGGTGTAGTTTGGTTTGTGGAAACCAATTTGCGCAAATTAATTTATTACACGATCCCTAAGACCAAACCTGACGCTTCATATAACGGCTAATATTTAGTATCTTTTTTTTTAATGGCCATTAATGACAGGTTTCACTGTACAATACATTATATTATACCGGGTGTTGCATCGTCGGACGGGACATAGGAAATCCCATGTAAATTTTAATGGGGTCAATTATTCATTTCCCTAATTATTTTAAAGAATAATTCTATTTAAGTTTATTGAAGAGCACTAAAACCCACATTCAAAAGAATAACTTTAGATATTTTTGATTAGCTCGTTTACGAGTTATCGCCGATTTCTTTTGAAATATTTCTCCTTTATTATGGCCCTATATTTACTTATGAGCACCAGTCAAGGTAAAAGATAACTGTCAAATGAAGTCGTCATTTCAGAAATTTACCTATTTAGTGCTTTATTATTATTGAAAACTCATTCCTACATCGGAAATCTTAAAGATGTATTTATAAATACAAATTAAAATCAATTAAAGTAAAATAAAGTAATCAACTACAAGGTTAATTATAGTGTTATTACAATATTCAATAACTTATTCATTTAGGTACTATTAAATTGAGAGAACTTTAGGATTTAAGATGTTCAAATATTCCTCCATCGACTGCTAGACAATAACCCTGGCGATCATAAAATTCTCTTCTTACATTCGCTAGTTGGTAAACTGAAATTCTATTGCATTCGGCAGAAATAGCATTTTTTAACTCATCTAGATTTGGGTATTTTTTATCCTTGTATATCCTGTTTTTTAAATGGCCCCAGAGAAAGAAATCATTTGGCGAAATATCAGGAGACCTTGCTGGCCAATTTACTGTATGATTTAGGCCAATAACGTTTCCGTTAAAACTATTGTCAAATATTCCCGAACAGCCAGGGTACTATGTGCCGGGCAGCCATCCGTTTGGTACCAAACTTTCTGTAAGGTAAAATATGATTTTCGAGTAGTTCCAAATAATATTCTGCATTTAAATTTCGCGTAAGAAATAATGGCCCGATAATATTGTGTCCGAATATCGCTGCCCAAACATTTACTTTCTGTGGATATTGCGTCCTTGTTTCGACAAACCTGTGTGTTGGTTTTCTTTGTTCCAATATCGATAATTTTGAACATTGGGTTCATTATTTAAGGTAAACGCGCATTCGTCAGTGAAAAATATGTTTTTTAAAAATTCCTTGTCCGTGTTTGCTCTTTCCATCATATCAAAACAAAACGCCTGCCGCCGTATTTCGTCCCCATCTCGTAGCTCTTGGTGCTTTTTATATTTGAAGGAATAGTATTTATGTCGTTTCAAAATTCAAAACGCTGTAGTGTGATCTATTCCTATTTCATCCTCAAGTTTCCTTATAATTATGTTAATTCCTCTTAAGATGCTGATCTTTCCATCGTTCTCTTTCACGCACAATAAAACTTCCAAGTCGGTATCATTTCTTGCATCTTCTCTTTGTTCCTGCCTTGCTTCACATCTGCAGTTATTTATTAGGGTACCTTTGGTCTCAAATCTCTTGATATTCCTTGCGATTGTAGATTTTCCAAGTATAGGTCTATTCGGATACAGAGCAGCAAACATGTCCGACACCTTTTGATAACTATTTCCTTGATAATACCATTAAATCATCAATACTTTTTCTTCGGTAGTGTAATTCATGGCTAATATTTTCGATGTAGGTATGAGTTTTTAATAATAATAATAAAGCACTAAATAGATAAATTTCTGAAATGACTACTTCATTTGATAGTTATCTTTTACCTTGACTGGTGCTCATAAGTAAATACAGGGCCATAAGAAAGGAGAAATATTTAAAAAGAAATCGGCGATAACTCGTAAACGGGCTAATCAAAAATATCGAAAGTTATTCAGTCAATAATTGACCCCATTAAAATTTACCGGGGATTTCCTATGTCCGGCTCGACGATGCAACACCCGGTACCTATACCGGATAGTGCATCGTCGTTACGGGCTCCCCTGTTAATTTTACAGCAAAGTCGTAAACTGTTATTTTAAAGGTCTGTCTTTTTGTATTCTGAATATACATGCCAAATTTGAACAATTTTGAACAAGCCGATTTTAACTAATTTAAGAAAAACTGCATCTATTTTTAAATTGAAATTGAATAGGTAACAATGTAAAACCAGGAAAATGCCACATACCTTAAGTACCCTATAATTTTGTAAATGTCAAATTGTATTTTATATACGTATAACATGAAAGCCTCGTATGCCCAGGTATGTATGTTCAATATTTCTTGTAATTGCTGTAACGTTTTTGCAACTAGAGCGCAGTCATCAGCGTATTGAAGTTCTGTATCTGTATCTAATGCCCAATCCTCTTTCCTGCAGTTTGCTGTCCACTATAAATAATACGGTAGACTGCTGCAATAAATATGTTGAATAAAAGGGCGCCAAGACACATCCCTGCCTAACTCCTGGATTTATCAGGAAGGGTTCGCTCAGTGATCCATGATGTGATACACTTGACTTATTGTTGTTATGGAGGCTTGTTGTTATGGACATATTTGTTGGGTACTCCAAACTTATTCATAATGGTCTAAAGTATATCTCTGAGTCGAAGGCTTTTGTTAGGTCGATGAATACAACGTAAATTTTACATTGATTTCCTGTAGTTGGCGGACGGAGAATATGGAATCGACGTTGGCACGGTTGGTGCGAAAACCCGTTTGCGATTCCGGGAGGATTTTTTCTTTATGTGGGTGCAGGCGGTTTGACATAATTTTTGGAAGAATTTTTCCCCCGATAGCCAGTAGTAAAATTCTCCGATAGTGTCCGCAGTCTGATGCACTTCCATTGTTCTTAAACATATTCACTATATTCGCGTTGCAAAAGTCCTGAGGTGCCTCTCCGCTTTCCCATATGACATCGAAGAGAGCCTTAAGATTACCAATAAGTTCTTTACTTGCACACTTATAGATTTCCGCCGGAATCGCGTCACAGCCAGCTGATTTGTTGTTTTAAGCTGTTTTATGGAGGCCTTTATTTCCTGTTCTGTTGTCGGAATATCTAATTTATGATTCAGAATTCAAGAATTTAGGGGATTAATACCTTTAGGGTATAGATTGCTTGATGTGCTCTATGCTTTTGTTCCAACAAAGCCTGTATATGCGGTTGATTTTTGTTAAACAGGTCTGGTTGTTTCCTTTTTATACAGCACAACAAATTACATTTGACAATGTCAAAATCATAGGCTGGCAACTTAAGGTATGTTGACATTTGCCTGGTTTTGCATTGCTATCTGTTCAGTTTTAATTTAAAAATAGATGTACTTTTTCTTAAATTATTTAAAATCAGCTTGTCCAAAATTTTTCAAATTTGGCATAATATGTATTCAGGGGTACGCAGACCTTTAAAACAGGGGAACCAATATTTAGACAGTACAAAATTTGCATGGGATTTCCTGTTTCGAACAATGCACCACCCGGTAAGTAAGCCGACATACTGACTGTGACTTATAATTTTATATATTTTAATCTGGTATTTAGATCAGTAGTTGTACTTCAAAGAGTTCTATCACACTGTTATATGTTAATTTTTCTATTATAAAATATACCGGGTGTTGCATCGTCGTTGGGAATATAGGATATCCCATGCAAAATTTGAACTGTCCAGATATTGGCTCCCCTATGATTTTTATAGCGAAGTCGTAAATAGACTTTTTAAAGGTCTACATTTGGTAAACACAAATGCCAAATTTGAACAATTTTGGACAAGCCGATTTTAGGTAATTTGAGAAAAACTTAATCGATTTTTAAATTAAAACTGAATAGGTAGCAATCAAACACCAGTCAAAAATCGACATTCCTTAAGTTGTCAGCATTATTTTCAAACGTAACTTAATTTTAATAAAATTTTAATATTCACTGCTAGTAATAATTTATTGTTATAGACATAAAGAAAAAGTGAACATGATAAAATACGCGGGAAATAGATTATACAGTGTATCTGACATGTTTCGGTTAACTTTCCCTAAATATATTAAAATTTTATTAAAATTACTTTTGACAATGACAAAATCATAGTTTCTAAACCTAAGGTATGTCAGTTTTTGACTGGTGTTTGATTGTTACCTGTTCGGTTTTAATATAAAAATCGATTAAGTTTTTCTCAAATTACCTAAAATCGACTTGTCTAAAATTGTTCAAGTTTGGCATGTGTGTTTACCAAATGTAGACCTTTAAAAAGTCTATTTACGACTTCGCTATTAAATCCATAGGGGAGCCAATATCTGGACAGTTCAAATTTTGCATGGGATTTCCTATGTTCCCAACGACGATGTACACCCGGTATATTATCCATCGTATTTTAGTTTTTGAGTGTGGATCAGTTCAGCAGGCCAATTAGAAAAACTGTTGAACTTATGTCAAAATATACTAACGTCTTCTACTACAAGCTTTCTTATGAGGGAAAGTTAGGGAACCCAAATAGAACATCGCCAGGTAAGTCTGTATATAATTAAATTACAAAGAAATATATTAATACAAAATACTGGAAATAAGAAAAGAATTTTACAACATATAGTATAAAATAATATGTATTCTTGATTTTATCGAGAATCCTATGGAGTTGAAATATCAAACAGTAGTATATCTTAATATAAAAATGTCATCTATACAGGGTGTTTTAAAAAACATGTGCCATCTCTCGTGGGGAGATTCGTCACATAAGAATAAAATTAATTTTTTATATAAATATAGGTTCGATTCTGCTTTGATTAGATACTACAGGGGGTTAAAGTCTACATTTTTTTCGATTTGTTATAATTTTCTTCCAAGTGCTTTTAGCGGTTCGAATGAAACTTTAAGGGTAAAAGTTACTATAAATGCGACATATTTTTATGCTAAAAAAGTGTCGACAGATTCACCAAGGACGTGCATATGGGTTATGATTGGAATATTTTTCTAAAAAAAATATGCGCGCCACTGACTTTTCTCTCTTGTTAGCAAAATTGTGTAGGCCGTTTAATGCCAATTAAAAGTTATCTCTGGATATTTTGTTGATTTCGGCCTCCATGATGAGATAGATATACGCAATTTTATTAAAATGCCTTAATCCAAATCTAATGGCAACCTTTAAAATTTTCTGGTGTTATTAACTGGTCAAAGTGTTAAATGGGTACGGAAATGCATAGTTATGAAGTTACAGGACGTTAAACTTTTAAAAAATATGTCTTTTGCGAGGGGTGTCTCACTATTGGAATTACATGTACATTTTCTTGGCAGTCGCTGGCAGTCATTGGCAGTCTTATTGCAGTCGCCTATAATAATTACATGGCAGTCATAGGCAGTCTTCTTCGTAGTCATTGGCAGTCGCTTGACAGTGAAATATTATTTTGGCAGTACGTGTACATTTCTTACCCGAGTGAGACACTCCCCGGTCTTTTGTAATTATCTTAAATACATTGTTTTTTTTATTTTTTGTAGGTAGCACTAAACATTAGTGATATAAATTTTAATAAAATTTAATGTTACCTAAATTATATTTAATAAACAATTTATTAATATTATTTTTAATTTAATTTTATTAATTGTGATTAAAATTAAGTTTATCTAATCAAGGGAGACCTAAATCGACAAAAGATCAAAGACAACTTTTAAGTAGTAAACGGCCTACACAACTAGGACAGCTGTGAAATAAGTGTTTAAAAATTAAGTTTATCTAATCAAGGGAGACCTAAATCGACAAAAGATCAAAGACAACTTTTAAGTAGTAAACGGCCTACACAACTAGGACAGCTGTGAAATAAGTGTGAAAAGTCAGTGGCGCACATGTTTTTTTTAGCAAAATAATACAGCGATATCCCATATGCACGCCCTTGGTGAATATGTCGACACTTTGCAGGCAGATAAAACAGGTTAACATAAATGGTTAGTCTTAAGTCTATAGTGTTTCATATCAAAATTTTAAATGTTAGAAAGAATCTAAATTTATATGTAAAGTTTAAATTTATAATAAACTAGTTTTTTCTTCCGACGTTGCGTCGTCTGCTTTAAAATTCGAATTTCTACTCTATTCTCTTTATGGCTGGGACTAACCAGACCATCTAAAGTAAATACCTGATGTAGTTTTTATTTCGGCACTGTCCTTGTATTTTTAATATTTTTTTAAGAAAGGCTGAAAAGTATATATTTTTTATTTATTTTTCTCTGAAACTAACGAACTACATTTACTCATATTTTAGAATTATATAAAGTGATGTGAAAGGAATCGAAAAATGCAATAATACACAGGGTGTTCCATTAAAAAAAATCATCCCAATCCACTCACTTTGTTGAACCATCCTATAGGAGTTAAAATATTTTCCTGAAATACATCCTCGTACATATTTTAGGTTTACATTTAAACAAAATTCTCAAGTTTTTTATTCTATAAAATAAATTTTTCTGCAACACAAAATTTAGTAAACAGAAAAACTTCAGTATAATATTTGATTTTAAAATCTTAAATCCCCCTAGAGAAATAAAGTATTAAAATTGTTACTGCATTTTAAATTGTAGCTGTAGTAGTCCTCCAGCGATCCCAGCACTCAAATTTCCAAAAAAGTGTCGAATAGCATGTATATAATAAAATTATATAAGAAATTCTTGCCACTTAACTGCTGATATAGAGATTTAATTCTACGCTGTGTTTGTCATAATGTGGATCAACCTGCTCTCACTACCGGGGTTTCGGAGTCCTACTCCATTATCAGGTGAGCTTGGGCAGATCCACATATACAAAATATACAAAATGACAACCACAGCGCAGAGTAGTTAATTCCGACTTGTCGGATAGTATCAGTTAGATATTAAGTCCCAAACGGGATGTAGGCGCCTGCGTGCAATGGTAGTACTTTCGTACCACCGAGGCGCAACTATCGATAGTAAAATGATGATAAAAGGTTTCTTTTTCAGGCAAGCCAAATTATAAAATAGAAAACAAATTTCTTGCAGTATAGGTATATAATAAAATTATATAAGAAATTCTTGCCACTTAACTGCTGACAAGTCGGAATTAACTACTCTGCGCTGTGGTTGTCATTTTGTGGATCTGCCCAAGCTCACCTGATGATGGAGTAGGGCGCCGAAACCGGTAGTGAGAGCAGATTGATCCACATTATGACAAACACAGCGTAGAATTAAATTTCTATATCAGCAGTTAAGTGGCAAAAACTTCTTATATAATTTTATTATACCGGGTGCATCTCAAAAGTGGCTCATCTCTATAACTTTTTTATTTTTTCAGATAAAAAATTGAGATTTGATATGTTAATATATGACATAAATAAGGATTAATTGACGTATTCAATTGTTCTCTGTCACTTCCTGTTTCGCCAGAAATGACTACAACTTTTGATTTTTAAATGGTACCCTCGGTTTTTTGTCGTTTTATTCGATAGAAAATGATACTCTGAAAAGAATAACACATCATATTATGACAATATGACATATCATATGTCAACTTTAACATTATCGCATATGGTTTATTTGAAATTATAACATGCGGTTCATAACGATAATTTAACTCGAAATACCAAGTGTGTGGTATCAAATTATTCGTAAAAAAATGCTTTTTCCAAATATGCTAATGAGTCACCCTCGTTCCATTTGAAAAAATTGAAATGTGATTAAAAATACAATTTGGTCATCTTTTAACCAGCCAAGACAAGACACGAATAACATTAGACGATCAAATCTATTTTTCAAAGGCTCCTTGATTAAAAAATTAGTGTTTTAACATTACTATGGCACTCTAGTTTGAAATTTAAAATTCAATTTTTGTTTTATATAAAACGTCAAAAGTTGGCATATGATATGTCATTCGATTCAGAATGTCATTTTATTGCATAAAGTAAAAAATACCGGGGTGCCATTTAAAAATCAAAAGTTGTAGTAATTTCCGGCGAAACAGGAAGTGCCCAAACCAATTGAATACGTCACTCAATCCTAATTTATGTCATATACCAACATACCTTGTTTTTTTATCTGAAGTGTTTTTAACACAGCCATGGCACTCTAGCTTGAAATTTAAAATTCAATTTTTGTTTTATATAAAAATGTCAAAAATTGGCATATGATATGTCATTCGATTCAGAATGTCATTTTCTATCGAATAAAGTAAAAAAAATACCGGGGTGCCATTTAAAAATCAAAAGTTGTAGTAATTTCCGGCGAAACAGGAAGTGCCCAAACCAATTGAATACGTCACTCAATCATAATTTATGTCATATACTAACATACCAAATCTTGTTTTTTTATCTGAAAAAATAAAAAAGTTATAGGGGGTGAGCCACTTTTGAGACGCACCCGGTATACCTATACTGCAAGAAATTTGTTTTCTATTTTATAGCATGTATATTTACGTATATTGAACCCTGTATATTTCTTAATGGAGATATCTCATTATAAAATATTGATGTGCAAGAAGAATCCAGTTTAGATATTGTGGTATTTTAGTACCCTCTAATTCGTACCTTTTTGCATACCGGAAATAAAACTATTAATGATATTGTTACGGATTGATTTCAGGGGTTACAAATTTGTAAACTAAATTTAATACACGACTAAAACTCTACAATAACAGTTGTACAGTTTTGTTATAGTAGAAATCATTTTTTCCGTTAGGGTTGGCCTTTTCTTGGAGGAGAGATGGCTGATGGTCCGTGACACTATTTATTTCATTATGATTAATGTTTGTTCCCAGTAATTACTATGCAGAAAAGAAATCGTGGGGATTTACGAAGAGCCAAAAGAAAACAATTATGTTTTTTTTCGACGGCGATGTTTCGCGACTTTATTGTCGCTTCTATATTGTTGAAGTCGACTAGAAATGACTAGTTTTATCTACTATTATATACTATCTACTATGACTACACAAACATTAAATTATGATAACTGTAGTTAAAATAAAAATGTATAAAAATTCGATCTTTTTTTAGGTGTGGGGCATGCTGAAGATATAAATTATCTTTTTTACTTGGGTAATATTACTGTATCACCAGAAGATGCTTTAACCAGGAAAAGACTAGTTACACTATGGACTAATTTTGCAAAATTCGGGTCAGTATAATATTATATTACAATTCTAAAATCAATGTCGGTTATTATGCACTACAACCTCTGGGAAATCCTTTGGCAGCACCGCCATTTTCACTTGTCCAGCAATAGCGGCAAAGCTTGTGACACATCCCTGCTTGCATCCCGATGTTGGACGGCTCTCCATCCTGGCTTTTCTCATCAAATGGTAAGAGAGGTGAGAGCAGGTTCCTCTCCCTCTCTTGCCCTTTGATAATAATTTAATGTTACGCTATAGATTATATTTAATAACAATTATTATATTATTTTTAATTAATTTATTAATTGTGATTAAAATTAAAGTTTATCTAATCAAGGGAGACCTAAATCGACAAGAGCATCAAAGACAACTTTTAAGTAGTAAACGGCCTACACAACTAGGACAGCTGTGAAACAAGTGTGAAAAGTCAGTGGCGCACGAAATGTTTTTTTAGCAAAATAATACAGCGATATCCCATATGCACGCCCTTGGTGAATATGTCGACACTTTGCAGGCAGATAAAACAGGTTAACATAAATGGTTAGTCTTAAGTCTATAGTGTTTCATATCAAAATTTTAAATGTTAAAAAGAATCTAAATTTATATGTAAAGTTTAAATTTATAATAAACTAGTTTTTTCTTCCGACGTTGCGTCGTCTGCTTTAAAACTCGAATTTCTACTCCATTCTCTTTATGGCTGGGACTAACCAGACCATCTAAAGTAAATACCTAATGTAGTTTTGATTTTGAGGACTGTCCTTGTATTTTTAATATTTTTTTAAGAAAGGCTGAAAAGTATATATTTTTGATTTATTTTTCTCTGAAACTAACGAACTACATTTACTCATATCTTAGAATTATATAAAGTGATGTGAAAGGAAGCGAAAAATGCAATAATACACTACTGCTGACAAGTCGGAATTAACTACTCTGCGCTGTGGTTGTCATTTTGTGGATCTGCCCAAGCTCACCTGATGATGGAGTAGGGTGCCGAAACCGGTAGTGAGAGCAGATTGATCCACATTATGACAAACACAGCGTAGAATTAAATTTCTATATCAGCAGTTAAGTGGCAAGAACTTCTTATATAATTTTATTATACCGGGTGCATCTCAAAAGTGGCTCATCCCTATAACTTTTTTATTTTTTCAGATAAGAAATTGAGATTTGATATGTTAATATATGACATAAATAAGGATTAATTGACGTATTCAATTGTTTCCTGTCACTTCCTGTTTCGCCAGAAATGACTACCACTTTTGATTTTTAAATGTTACCCTCGGTTTTTTGTCGTTTTATTCGATAGAAAATGATACTCTGAATAGAATAACATATCATATTATGACAATATGACATATCATATGTCAACTTTAACATTATCGCATATGGTTTATTTGAAATTATAACATGCGGTTCATAACGATAATTTAACTCGAAATACCATGTGTGTGGTATGAAATTATTCTTAAAAAAATGCTTTTTCCAAATATGCTAATGAGTCACCCTCGTTCCATTTGAAAAAATTGAAATGTGATTAAAAATACGATTTGGTCATCTTTTAACCAGCCAAGACAAGACACGAATAACATTAGACGATCAAATCTATTTTTCCAAGGCTCCTTGCTTAAAAATTAGTGTTTTTAACACAGCCATGGCACTCTAGTTTAAAATTTAAAATTCAATTTTTGTTTTATATAAAAATGTCAAAAGTTGGCATATGATATGTCATTCGATTCAGAATGTCATTCTCTATCGAATAAAGTAAAAAAAATACCGGGGTGCCATTTAAAAATCAAAAGTTGTAGTAATTTCCGGCGAAACAGGAAGTGCCCAAACCAATTGAATACGTCACTCAATCATAATTTATGTCATATACTAACATACCAAATCTTGTTTTTTTATCTGAAAAAATAAAAAAGTTATAGGGGGTGAGCCACTTTCGAAACGCACCCGGTATACCTATACTGCAAGAAATTTGTTTTCTATTTTATAGCATGTATATTTACGTATATTGAACCCTGTATATTTCTTAATGGAGATATCTCATTATAAAATATTGATGTGCAAGTAGAATCCAGTTTAGATATTGTGGTATTTTAGTACCCTCTAATTCGTACCTTTTTGCATACCGGAAATAAAACTATTAATGAAATTGTTACGGATTGATTTCAGGGGTTACAAATTTGTAAACTAAATTTAATACACGACTAAAACTCTACAATAACAGTTGTACAGTTTTGTTATAGTAGAAATCATTTTTTCCGTTAGGATTGGCCTTTTCTTGGAGGAGAGATGGCTGATGGTCCGTGACACTATTTATTTCATTATGATTATTGTTTGTTCCCAGTAATTACTATGCAGAAAAGAAATCGTGGGGATTTGCGAAGAGCCAAAAGAAAACAATTATGTTTTTTTTCGACGGCGATGTTTCGCGACTTTATTGTCGCTTCTATATTGTTGAAGTCGACTAGAAATGACTAGTTTTATCTACTATTATATGCTATCTACTATGACTACACAAACATTAAATTATAATAACTGTAGTTAAAATAAAAATGTATAAAAATTCGATCTTTTTTTAGGTGTGGGGCATGCTGAAGATATAAATTATCTTTTTTACTTGGGTAATATTACTGTATCACCAGAAGATGCTTTAACTAGGAAAAGACTAGTTACACTATGGACTAATTTTGCAAAATTCGGGTCAGTATAATATTATATTACAATTCTAAAATCAATGTCGGTTATTATACACTACAACCTCTGGGAAATCCTTTGGCAGCACCGCCATTTTCACTTGTCCAGCAATAGCGGCAAAGCTTGTGACACATCCCTGCTTGCATCCCGATGTTGGACGGCTCTCCATCCTGGCTTTTCTCATCAAATGGTAAGAGAGGTGAGAGCAGGTTCCTCTCCCTCTCTTGCCCTTTGATGGAAATGAGTGAGGCTATTTCTTGGTTTCTTCACTTTCCCCTTTTCGGAGGAGTGTCTTCGCTTTTGCTTCCTCTGGAGCAACTTCTTAGTGGAGCAATCAGAGGTATCTTGAAAAAAGTAATTATTACATATTTCTAAATGAACCATGCATTTTTCTGCTCTTCCTCTTGCGAGTTTTTTTAGGATAATTAGGCTACGCACTGACATGCAATTTTTAGTCGGCCGACTATTTAGCGGAAAACTGAGAAAAATACATTCTTATAGACCCGATCAGTCGACTATTTTATTGCATATGCGCTGACAGGTAATTTTTGGTCGGCTGACTATTTAGTTGCAGATTTGTAACCAATATATTTTTATAGTGGTCCAATTTTTATAGTCAGCCGATCGGCTCCAAAAGAATGTCCTCTTTTTACTTCTACAACTTAATACTCGGCCGGCAAAAAATTGCATGTCTCAGCGCATAGGCTTATTATTTCGTACATCCCTTTACAGTGTCCAAACTTTTTTAAAACGTAGCTCAGAAAATTTAAGGTGTCTAGTTTTTCAATTTAGCATTTTATGTTTAAAAATATGCGATAATTGTTTTGAGAAGTTCTCAAAATTCCAGACTCTGTGGAATAGTATAGAAATAATTTATGGACTCTAGAAAGCAACCCAAAGGGCTTCTGGGCCATGAGAGTACAATTGTCACACACATTGAGTGTGGGGTAAAACTTCACAAAAGGAATGTTTGTTTTTAAATTGTAACAAAAAACAAATATGTTTAAATGTTTATAAAAATGTATAAAGACGACGGCGACGGAAGCGACCCTTTAAAAATAAAAAACTGTAAATAAAAAATGCTGCAAAAAGTATTTCTAGGGTACTTCTAGGGAGTGAATAAGGGATAGGGTATGAAAGTAGATAATTTTAATAATTATGATCCAAAAGATTGTTTAAAAGTTTATCACATTTCACTTAAATTTATAAGTTGATGTTGATTCGTATCTACTCTACTATAATAGGTATACGAAATAATATGGATGTACAAAACCTATACAAAATAAATTGTTTAAAAAAATAATATAGTAAAATGGAACCAATGCGACACTGGTAAAAAGAGATTAAGTCGGTATCGCTGTCGGCATTACCAAGTTTTTTTTTAAATAATGTGTAAAACGATTTGAATTATTTCTGACGGCAACTATAGTTTCTAACTTCTTTATTAGACGTTTGATACCATACTTCTACTAAATTTTTATATGATGTTAAAGAACAAATAAAACGTCCAGATCTTTTACATTATTTAAATTATACCATATACAAAAGACATGCATCTTTAGATTATTTAATTTTAAGTATTATATTTCATAACGCAATAGCAGAAAATGCATCTAATTCAATTTATACCAATTTGTTTTAGAAATCCCACGCCAATAAGTACATCTGATGTTCTTCAAAATACAACATGGATTCCTAACACAAAACTTAATCAAACAAACGTATATTATTTAAACATAAACAAAACTCTAAGTAACGAAATAAATCCCGATCAAGCAGATTGGAACTTCTATTCTCAAATTATTTATGGCGTTTTTGGAAATGAATCATATTATACTACTTACTGAAATGTATACAAAATATATTTATATTCCCAATATCCAATATCCATATTTTAAATAAAAACCAGCACAACAAAATATTTCCTTTTGTTTCATTGTTAATCCCTCTGGAATTTACTATAATAATAGGTAAATCTTTATTTATTACATACACAGGTTGGTTCGAATTGTATTCGGAAAACTTCGGCGTCATATTCTGGAGATAAAAATAAGAAAAAAAAAGCCCGTATAAATTCATGTCCTAAAATGCTTTGTTTTGGAGTTGGTGTAAAGTTTCATTTTTATTTCGTTTTTTTTTCTAAATGATAGGTAGTGGTGAGTGCAAATCCCACACCCGGCATTCCATCAGCCGACTATTTTTATTAAAATAAAAATAGTTTGGGTACCTAGGTAGGTCGACTCAGCTTTAAATGAGTACTTGGGATTCACAATCCTGAGGTAATAATGGGCGGTTGAAGCGTAGTGATAGCCACATTACCTTCCTTGTATACCGAACGGCTCTAGTATGGCAAGCTGTACCTTGCTACTCCCAAAGCGTCAAACTCTATATACGGGAGCTAGTATTATTTATCTCTGTTCCATATTTGGATGGAAATTGGTGTCTAGGTACTTTTTGACAGGATAAATTCAATTTTGATGCCAGTATGACTTTTACTTGGGGTAAACCGCGAGACCAATGCGGTGTACAACCCCAAACCAATGCGGACCAATTGTGTGCACTAATGGTGCCGATTAAGTGACAATGCTAACAAACGGGAGAAATTGACCAATTTTGCAGAGCCAATGGAACCAATTCGAGATTTGCAGAGCCAATGGAAACAATAGCCGAGTCGACGACAGGGTTGCCAGATTGGACCCTTAAACGCCATTTAGGATATTTTTAATGATTACTTGACGTTAGTACAAGAGAAATAATTATTTATTGAAGTTATTTGCAGTGGCGTGAATAGCAAATAATGGTTTCCGTTAAATACCTTAAACTCGTAAGGTTCGTTTCACACGAGCAAAAATTATGGCGAAAATAATTAGGTAATCATTTGAAAAATCTGGGCACGTCTGGGGATGAGCCAAGGGAGGGCCTAGGGCCTTTGTTTTCTTAAAAATTAAAAATAATTTAAAATAGCACATTTTTTGAATAAAACGTTTCAATGAATTTCTCTATAAATAAATTTCATGACTTGGTTATCAAACCGTGTTCCCGTAGATTACTTAAATACCTACAAATTTTCTAAAAAAATAAAAATTAACACATTTTTTGAACACAACAAAATAATATTTACTAAACAAAACTAGAAAACGTCATTTTTACTGCATCACAAGCAAATAAAAATCAATACGTAGCCAAGAGTCATAATTCAGGATTTCTCTGGGGGGTGCCCAGCAGTACATGGGGGGGTTTGGTTGTAGTTACGCATTGGCGTGAGGAGGAGGCACCATCTACATATTTTTTTATTGTTTTGAAGAATAATCTTACTCTCCTAATCTAATTTACTTACGAATCTAACTTTTCATATGTACCTGTATTACTAAGTAAAAAAATACACATTTCCTCTGTATTTTATATAAAGAAAGGTCTCTTGGAAAAAATTGCTACAAGTGATGGTTCTCAAGATATTTCGAATACGTCTTTATTGACAAAAATTAACCATCTTGACTAGATAAAAAAACTATCTAAAAAAAAGTACTATCTAAAAAGTACTATCTAAACAAAAAAGTACTATCTAAAAAACTATCTAAAAAAAGAAGGATACAACCATAGATAAAAGACTTATAATATTAAATAGATAGGCAACTTATGATACATTTTAATTTTATAGGGCGCTCCTGGTGGTCGGAGGAAGAAATTCTATGGGAACAGAAACGTGCGGGGAAGAGGGGGGTGTTCTAATTGATTTAAAATAAATTTAGACATATAAGAACACTTTGTGTGCTTTGAATTAGGTCGAACATATTATAGACGACAAAACAACTCAATTAAAAGTATATAAAGTGTTCTTATATGTCGAATATTAATTAAAAAAATATTGCTAGAGAAAAAAAGACTAGTAATGGTATTATACAGGGTGGCGCACCTAATTCGCCTCGGTTGATTACACGACAACGGAAAGATGTAAAAAATGTTTATGGGTATATGTAGAGAGGCAATGTGCATAATTTAAAATTATTTTGAAATGTACAGGGTGTGTCAGAACTAAGATCCACACCAAAGTGTTATATTTTTTCTTATGGAACACTCGGTATTTTATTTCATTTTTGCATTCTGTAGCATTAGAAGTTATAAAAAAAATGATGGAATGTTTTTTTTTATAAGAATTTTCTTTTAGAAAAAATATTAAAACAACTAATACTATGCGACGGAGCTGTTCGCCGGTGAGCAATGGGTCGTAAGCTAGTGAAAATTAAATTGTGATAATTACGTCTTTATAATATACTGGGCGCCACTCAGTTTTCCATTTACTTTCTAAAACTTCTAAGTTGAGAACTGAGAAATCAACTCAGAATATAGGTATTATTTATTTTAGGAATTACACAAATGAAACGCTGAGATAAACTAACAACTAAGTATAATTAATAATTAAATGTTAATTAGAATAAAATAAGACTATGAATAATTTGACGTTTGAAAATGTTTGTTGGTAAATAGTATGTATTAAAATAGATCACTGAAGATGGTAGTTAAATCTGCACGCTTCTGAATATTAATATTTTATTAATTATTCCGCAAAAAGTCTGGCGATCTTGGTACCAAAATATAGGGACTCTTTATATTAAAAAAACCGTACTACGTAGATATCAGAAATATGCATAACATGAATAAAATATTTCAAGTGACTCTAAAGTAATAAAATATCTAATATGCCTGAAGGGCTTAAAGCATTAAAGTGAACTTAAATTATATAATAAGAAATGATCTGGCCTTTTATATCCGTTCTGGTCACAAGCTGGTTGTGGTGAACTGCTGGAACTGGATCGTTATTATAACGTCTCCACCCAGACAGGATCGGAAAATGCTGTATATTTAGGAGATTCCTCCGTTATTCAACGTGTATATTGTAGGGACAAACGTGGCCCAAATGTCAGATACAATAAACAAAATGGCACCAGAAATTCGTACCATAAAATAAAACCCTGTACAATTAGAAAAAAGGTATTAGGAAACGTTATGTAAAAAATAAAACGTCTTACCTCCGCTCAGAGGGTTTTCCCACACAAATTTCACAAATGCCAAAAAAAACGCCGATAATTCTATCGGGTTCAGCTTCAACCACCAATATAGCGATAAAGGTAGGCACGAGGCATATACCTATACCGTCAGAAATAAAGTGACGAACAACTTCGACCGGACTGAAATAACTAGCCAGAAATAAACTTGTAGAAAAAATAAAAGATAATAACAATACTTATAATGCCATCTCGGTGCGAGGACTTAAACTTGAATTGTTTAAATAAAATAATTCTGTACATTTATTTAAATTGTGTAAATTTTAAATAAAATGCTACATTGCCTCTCTCCAAAAAGAAAAAATTAAAGGCTGTACAGACTTTAAATTTTTTATGAGAACAAAATGTTCACCTAGATCAGTGATTCCCAAAGTGGTCCAGGTGGACCCCCAGGGGTCCACGGGAGACTTGCTGGGGGTCTACGTAGGCGTGAACAAAAAATGGGGGTCCATAAGATGTTAATGGGGGTCCACGAAAATTTATCTGCTTTTGATAGTAAAGAGCAAAAATGTAAGCATAGTTTTTATAAGGGCCTACCTACATTGTTTTAAGTACCTATCTAAGCAGATAATATTTTAATAAGGCAAGCGACTGTTACTTGTCCAAACTTGCGTATTCGATATTACGTACAATTTCGTGTACAGACTTGCAAAAAGCGCTATCCACGACAATGCTTAATGCTTGTTCAGACATGAACTTGATCACCACTATAAATACTTGATGCCAAAGGCAAACGCATTCATTTGTTTCCGGAATTTCGAAAAAAAGGCGGAATTTGGAAAAAAAGTTGTGAAAAATTTATATCTGTGTTTGCTAGTGCCGGAGAAAAGTAAGTAACCTACCTTTTTTTTGTTATAGTACCTTAAGTATTTTGTTTACGTGTACTAGTCGGTTGATCACAACGGCCTGTATAGATAGGTAACTTAGTAACTTACAGATATTTTAATTGTCCTCTTTCGATTTGAAGACAAACACAGCACGTTTTATTCAATTGTTTTTCACGAGAGAAACACTGCCTCTCTAAAAAGGCCGAATAAGCAATATTGCAGAGCAATTAATTTTGTAATTTTTCTTGCAAATAACTACTAATTTTATAAAACAGTAATTTCATAATCATTTTAAATTGGTTTTGAAGTAACTATTTTATCAAAACTATTCCTTTTCGGAGCGGTGCGCGGGCGACAGAAAAGGGCGGGGCTTGGACTTCGATGCCAGTTTGTCACGTTTTAACAATGAAGCCGCAGACAAAAATACGCAAATACACGGGCGCGTGAACTCATTGATTTAATAAAATGTTAGTTATCGTTTTTATGGACAATTTTGGGATTTCGACTTTTTTTTTTTCCTACACAAATATGATCAGTATTCGATACTGAGTACACCAATTTTTATTTATACTATTAAAAATTAGTGGTAAATTATGTACTTTAAAATTGATACCGTTTTGTGAAAACGTCTGTATTTGTCTCAGCGGTTTATTAGTTGGTCCCTTTACAAGCCGTAATTCTATTTCCGCGTGCTGACAAAGGCTGCGGTGTGATACCTATATTCAGAGAAAAAACTTGGTTACTAAAACATTTTTTTTTACAGGTAAGGTAACTGACACGAAACATGGCTACAGCAAAGAAAAAATGTCGACAATATAGTATCGATTATTTGAAATATGGTTTTGTTCCATCAGAGGCAGACAAACAATTGCCCATGTGCCTATTATGCAACAAAGTTTTGAGCAATGACTCTATGAAACCATCAAAGCTCGAAGATCATCTAAAAAGGTGTCATACTGATAAAATAGGTAAAGATTTAAAATATTTTCAAACATTGAAAGAAAAATATGGAAAGAGACCCACCATGCACA